TTCCGCTAGCTCAAGATTGGGGAAGAAAGCTTGTTTCCTCTCCAAACCCCTCTGGTCGGTTTCACCGGCGACCGCGTAACCTCCATCGGCTCCATCGATCTACCTATCACCATTGGTGAGCACCCCCGGCAGGCCACTAAGTTGCTCACCTTTCTTGTGGTCGACTGCCCCTCTGCTTACAACATCATCCTTGGCCGCACAGCCCTAAACACCTTCCAAGCCATCACATCCACATATCATCTTGCCATCAAATTTCCTACCGATCTTGGTGTCGGAACTGTCAAAGGAGAACAGACCGTGGCTAGGGAGTGTTATGTCACCTCACTCAAAGAAATCAAGTTAAAAGAGGCCATGATCATCGAAGGGCTTGACGTCCGAGACGATGACGAGCTGGTCAGAGGTGAACCCGTAGAGGAACTTGTTGAAGTTAACATTGATCCCACCAACCCAATCAAAACCGCCAAAATTGGCAGCTAATTACCTTCCCAAGCCAAGGCCGACCTTACTGCTCTCTTGACCGAGCACAGAGATGTATTCGCCTGGACCCATTCTGACATGCCAGGCATCGACCCCTCCTTCATAACCCACCGCCTCAGCATCGAACCCCACTTTCGACCCCACCGCCAGAAGCAACGCATTTTCCATCCGGAGCGCAACACTCTTATAGCCGCAGAAGTTGACAAGCTCCTCGAGGCCCAATTCATCAAAAACATGGACTACCCTAGATGGTTGTCCAATGTGGTCCTCGTCCGCAAGCACAATGGCAAATGGCGGCTCTGTGTCGACTACTCTGACCTGAACCGAGCTTGTCCCAAAGACAGCTACCCCCTTCCCCGCATAGATCTCCTGGTCAACGCCACGGCCGATCATCAAATGCTCAGCTTCATGGATGCCTTCTCTGGGTACAACCAAATCCTGATGCACATATCTGATCGGGAGCACACATCATTTATTACCGACCGAGGTACCTACCACTACTGTGTAATGCCGTTCGGATTGAAGAATGTTGGGGCCACTTATCAGCGGCTGGTTAATGCCGTTTTCCATCACCAAATAGGTCGGAATATGGAAGTCTACGTCGATGACATGCTAGTCAAAAGCAAATACTCCTCCGATCACCTCACTGATTTACGCGAGACCTTCGCCACCTTGCGCAAGTACCAGATGAAGCTCAACCCAAAGAAGTGCACCTTCGGCGTAGGGTCTGGCAAATTTTTGGGCTTTATGGTCAGTCAGCGCGGCATCGAAGCTAACCCTGAGAAGATCAAGGCCTTGGTTGAGATGCAGTCGCCTAGGACGGTCAAAGAGGTTCAAAGACTCACTGGCCGAGTGGCGGCCCTCAATCGCTTCATTTCCCGTGCGACAGGTAAGTGCTTGCCCTTCTTCAAAGTTCTTCGGCAGACTTTTGAATGGACAGCTGAATCCGAAGAGGCCTTCCAACAGTTAAAGCAATGCATGGCCAACCCTCCCATTCTCTCCCAAGCAATCACGGGCGAACCCCTCTTCCTCTACTTAGCAGTATCGGGCACCGCAGTCAGTGCAGCTCTCCTCAGAGAAGATGGCTCAATCCAACGGCCGGTCTATTACATCAGTCAGGCTCTCAGGGGCACGGAGCAGAACTACCCTTGCTAGAAAAACTGTCCCTGGCCTTGGTCATTGCCTCCAGACGACTCCGCCCATACTTCCAAGCCCACCCCATAGTGGTCCTCACCGACCAGCCCCTGAAAAAGGTCATGCAGCAACCAGAACTCTCAGGTAGACTGATGTAGTGGTTCGTTGAACTCAGCCAGTTCGACATCTCCTACCGCCCTCGAACAGCAATCAAGGGGCAGGCTGTAGCTGACTTCATCATGGAATTCACCAAGCCGACCCCGACCACTACACCTCCGCCCCCACCAACTCCAACAGAGCTAGAAGATCCTTATTCTTGGACTCTCAATGTCGACGGTTCGTCTCGAAGAGAAAGAAGTGGTGCCGGCCTCATCCTCACCTCCCAGCTCGTCGTCGGTCAAATGACGGGGGATTTTGATGCCAAGGAAGACACGATGCGAGCTTACAGGGACATGGCACTCCCCCTTGCTCGCCTCTTCAACACCTTCCACATCAGGCACATTCCTCGGGCGAAAAACTCCAAAGCAGATGAGATGGCTCAGTTGGCCTCTACTGACCATCCTACTTTCAGCCATGATGTCCGCGTCGAATATCTACACCACCCGGCCATTTCACCCGACCTGCAAGCTGTACAATACATCCAAAACGAACCCATCCTTTGGGCATCCGACATTCTCCTATTCTTGACCACAGGAGCACTCCCAGATGACCAACAGTAGGCTGCCAAAGTCCGATCCCGAGCGTCCAATTACATCATTGTCAACGGTATATTGTACAAGCGCGGTTTTTCCCGGCCATATCTACGGTGCCTCAATCCAGCTCAAGCAACTTATGTAATGCAGGAGATCCATGAGGGAATTTGTGGTAATCATTCAGGTGGCAGGTCCCTTGCCCAGAAGATACTCCGTACTGGGTATTTTTGGCTAACTCTTAATCAGGATGCGACCGACTTCGTGCTCAAATGCGATAAATGTCAATGCTTTGCCAACATCCCCATGCTCCTCCTATAGAGTTAATCACACTCTGCAGCCCTTATCCGTTTGCCAAGTGGGGAATCGACCTGGTTGGTCCACTTCCCACCAGTTGAGGCCAGACCAAGTTCGCAATTGTCGCCATTGATTACTTCACCAAGTGGGTCGAGGCTGAACCCCTTGCCACAATCACCGAGCGGAACACCACCAGGTTTATCTGGCAATCAATCATTTACCGATTTGGCATCCCTCAAGCCATCATCTCTGACAACGGCAAACAATTCGATAACGCGAAGTACAGAAATTTTTTTGCAGATCTCCAAATTCAACCATGCTTCTCTTCCCCGGGTCACCCCTAAGCAAACGGCCAAGTTAAGGTCACCAACCGTTCCCTTCTGAAAATCATCAAAACTAAGCTCGAAGCTGCTAAAGGCCTTTGGGCTGAGGAACTACCAAACGTACTCTGGGCTTACCGAACCCCTGCTCGCACTCCCACTGGGGAAACCCCTTTTCGCTTAACATATGGCGCTGAGGCGGTTATTCCGGTAGAAGTCGGTCTGCCCACTCCCAGGGTTTTACATCCGGATCTGGCCGCAGCCGAAGAACTCCATCGAACAGACCTGGACCTCGTCGAAGAGCTCAAAGAGACTGCTGCTGTCAGATTGGCTTCATACCAGCAGAAAATGAGAACACACTACAACCGTCGAGTTCGACCACGAGAGTTCTCCGTGGGGGACCTTGTCTTACGAGAAGTGACTCTTGCCACAAAGAATCCAACCGAGGGCAAACTGGCAGCCAAATGGGAGGGGCCCTACATTGTTAAAGCCCGACCACGACCAGGCACTTACCGACTTCAATACATGGAAGACCGAGACCTGCCCTATCCCTGGAATGCGGAACATTTGAAGCGTTACTATCAATAAGTTCATACTTTTATATTGTCAATATTGTTGTATTTCCCTCTTTAATACATAATGCAAATTCCGACTGCAGATCTCAACTTTCATAATTCAACTGTCTGTATATCGCTCCCATAACTTTTTCACTTTCAGCACTTCAAAGCCTCAGCCAGACTGAGCACTTCGAAGCCTCAGCCAGACTGAGCACTTCAAAGCCTCGGCCAGACCGAGCACCTGAAGCCTTCGCCAGTCGGAGCACTCAAAGCTTCAGCCAGGCTGAGCACTTCAAAGCCTCGGCCAGACCGAGCACCTGAAGCCTCGGCCAAACCGAGCACTCAAAGCCTCAGCCAGACTGAGCACTTCAAAGCCTCGGCCAGACCGAACACCTGAAGCCTCTGCCAGTCGGAGCACTCAAAGCCTCAGCCAGACTGAGCACTTCAAAGCCTCGGCCAGACCGAGCACCTGAAGCCTCTGCCAGTCGGAGCACTCAAAGCTTCAGCCAGGCTGAGCACTTCAAAGCCTCGGCCAGACCGAGCACTCAAAGCCTCAGCCAGACTAAGCATTTCAAAGCCTCGGCCAAACCGAGCACCTAAAGCCTCCGCCAGTCGAAGCACTCAAAGCCTCAGCCAGACTGAGCACTTCAAAGCCTCGGCCAGACCGAGCACCTAAAGCCTCCGCCAATCGGAGCACTCAAAGCCTCAGCCAGGCTGAGCACTTCAAAGCCTTGGCCAGACCGAGCACCTGAAGCCTCGGCCAGACCAAGCACTCAAAGCCTCAGCCAGACTGAGCACTTCAAAGCCAAGCAAGACCACATTCTTAACACTTAGTCACATTTTGAAGCTTCTTCACAATTCCAGGACCACGTTTTTACCTAGTTAAATTCCAAACATGCTCTCACGTATTTCATTTACTAATCAGATTATCTACCACCTCACCCAGTTTATTTCTCCAATCTTTTCTCTACAAGTTCACAATTAACTGTTTAGTTACAATTGGCAACCTACCTTTTGTCCTCATCCGTGGATTCTTCATCCGCACTTAATATTATGTTCTACAATTTTCTACTCCAATTTTTCAATCAACCACTATCATCCTTTCAATTTTTATACAACTCCAATCGCACTCCGCAGGGAGGAATTTTTAACTTTAACTTTGCGCGAAATTTTTATTGCAACATAAACATTTGTACACAAAATAACAAAACACAGAGCATTACAAAAAACAAAATAACATTTGTACACAAGTTCATTACAAAAAAAAAAAAAAACCTACACAGACACAGAGCATGCCCAGCTTTTCTTCTTCTTGGTTATTCCTCCTCGCTGGACGCCAGCTCTTCTTCTTCAACGCCCTCGTCCAGGGGGGTCTGGGCCACATCATCTTCACCTATCGTTACACTACTCAGGTCCAAGTGTGGGAACAGCTCTTCAGCTCTGCGCTTGAACATCTTCCAACCGCTGTCCCAGAACTCGGCCATTTCGTGCTTGTAGAAGTCTGACTGCTGGAAGCTTTCAATCACCTCTGCTTCTGTCCTACCTCCAACAGTCTTCCTTGATGGGCCCACCCCCCCAGACTCTTGCCTAGCCAGACTCCTGGCGACAGCGGCGTCTACCGCCATCTGAAATTCGGGGGACCCTTTATATTGCTCCACTGCTGCGACGCACAGATCAGGGTAGGCCTCCCTCTCAGACGCCGCCTTCGCCCTCTCTTCGTCCAGCTCTCTTTGCAGGGCCCCCCTTTCAGCCGCCGCCATCGCCCTCTCCTCTTCCACCCCCTTCTTCAGACTCTCCAGCTCCGCCGTCGCCTTCGCCTTCTCTGATTCCCACTCCCTCAGGAGCCTCCCCTTCTCCTCCTCTGCTCTGGCGCGCTTCTCCCCCAACTCCTTCAACAGATCTCCAATTCTGGAATCTGCTTCATCTTTTTACCTGACCAGCTCTTCGTTGCTGCTCATGGCCTCTTCATGCCGCTCGACCGCAATGGCGCAGGCCCTTTCAGACTCTTTCAATTTTTTCTGTTCGCCAGCCAGTTAGAACTCGAGCGACACGACCTTACGGCGTGTGTCCTCCAGCTCCAACTTGACTGCTGGCAGATCAGCATGGGCAGTCTTCCAGTCGGCACTATCTTTCTTCAATTTGGCCAACTGGGCCTTGGCCTCTTCAGCCTTTAACTTGGCAGCCCCTGCCTTCCTAAGGAGGGCCCCTACCAAGGTAGTTACCTCCATTTGGGCGGAGCATAACCCCCTCAGCAGGTCAGCCTCATTGTATCCTGATGCTGCGCGCAGAGCTGTCTCCTCCACAATCTTCACCAAGCGGTCTGCCCCCGCCCTGGCTAGGCCTTCTTCTCCCTCCAACCTTCCAGCTACCGCGCGCGCGTGATAGATTGCCGTAGCCAGACGAACCTCTCCTTCCTAGGGGGCAGGCCCCTTCTGGACCTGCTCCCTTCCGCTCGGCGCCGCCTCAGTCAGCCCAGCCTCCACTTGCACTGTTGGAGCAATCTCTACAACCTCCACCATTAGGATGACCTCCACCACCTCTGGGGCATCCTTGGCCACAGGGACCTCCACCTCAGTTGGGGCCACCTTCGCCCTCTTGGCCCCAGACTCATCTGCGGCTTCCTCTGGGGCACTCCTCTTCTTCTTCTTCTTTTTCAGAACCTCCCCCTCCTTTCTGGCCTGTTCTTTTACAGGGTCTACAGGGGGCGGCCGCGGCTCATAACTGCTTAAATCTTTTCCCCCCAACGGCCTTGGGCGCGGTCGGATCCTCTCCCACGCGATCGGTTGAGGTGGTCGGTCTCCTCGCGCTTCCTTCAACTTCGTGGCCTTGGCCAGAATGGCCTGATCCTCTACCTTCTGAGCTTTTCTCCTCGCCTCCAATTCTGCTCGGTCTAGGTTCCCACCCTTCGACTACGGTCCCAGCCCTGCCTAAAACAATGCAGACGGTTGCACAAGCTCGTCCCATTTGGCCTTCTCTCTCTCTCTCCACTCCTTCACTCTCTTCACCCTCTCTTCTGCCATTGCCCCCAGTCTCGACTCCATCGACCTAGTTGGCACCTTCCAGATGGTGCGCACCCCCACTCCCCCATTAGCAGACACGTAGAACCACCGTGGCCGCCACCCCTTGATCGATGTTGGCAGCCCCGCCACCAATCCCCTCCCCATCACTGCCTGTAGGGTGACCCAAGTTTCTTGCTGCCCCGACGTCGTGTAACACGAAAAGAACTCGTCTACTGTCATGGCCTCCCCTCCATTCGCCTTGGGCCACGCACTCGCACAGGCCAACAGAATCTTCCATGCATTGGGCATCAATTGCCCCGACGCTACCTCCAGGCGATTTAGCACGTCAACCACCACTTGGGGCAGTGGCAACCTCAGCCCACCTTTTAGCGCCTCCTCGTACAAGGAAAACTCCCTTGGCCTAGCAGTAGATGGCCTTTCCCTCGATGTCGGCAGCAATAACTCCACCTCCGCCGGAATCTGGTATCGTTCCCTGATAACCTCCAAATCCGCCGCCATGAGTGTGGATTTGTCCGCCTTGGAGCCAATATCAGGGCCGACGCCTGCGATTCTCCCACCGGTTCCCCCACCCCCGCTCCCACCATCCGTGTCTCCGTCCTATATCGCGCTGCTAACTCCTCCGCATCATCGTCTCCAAGCGGGTCCACCCTCACATTGACTACTTCTTCTTGTGCCATTTCTAGGGTTTGCTTACAAATCACTTCTGACCCAGGAGCAAGGAAGTTGAGAAAATGCTACATAGGTGTGTCGTACGCAATGAAGGAATTAACACTTGGATATTTTGAGTTTTTGTAAAAAGGTAGGTGAAGCGCATTATACCAAAAACCCACGGTTTACCCATATTCCATGGATCCACATTAATTTTCGCCTGTTTCAAAACCTTTCAAATCAACCGCCAAAATCGCCTTTTCAAAACCCCCCCTCGTGACCTATTGTTTCATTTCTGCTCCAATGCTTCACTTCCCCCACGATATTGCCACGTGTATGGCCACGATGCACTGTCCCCTCCCCTTACCCTGTCCTTTCCATTTCACATCATCACATGGCACGCCCCCCTTTGAGCCCCGCGCCGTCCTGGCCGGCACGCCCCACGCTCGGCCACCCTTGCGGTTGGCACGCCTCACGGTCGACCCCTCCCACTCGGCCACCCTCGC